CACAAAGCTCAGAATCTCAATACTGTTCTATTTTAGTCTTATTCACAGTGAAATGATGTCATAAAGTGATTTTTCATCAAGGCATTAATATCAAAACATGATCAGAAGGGAAAAAAAAAAGAATTTGTCATGTAGAAAACTGAACAGAAAATTAACCATAGAAATATGATTGGAAAGTATTTTCATGCAGGAAATTCTTCATATTAACATAATACTTATGTATTTAAGAACAACTGGTTTACCTGTCTACCATGTGACAATTTTGAATGTTCTACCCATTTTGGAGCCAATTAGGCACCTATTCAAGGCTCTGTGCTCACTTTAATTTCTTCATTTCTCCACCCACCTGAATCTGACACTTTGACATTGTTGCTTATTAGAATGGAAATTCAACATTTAGCAAGGTCAGGCAATTCAAGGTCAAAAACTAGTGAGAAATATATATATTGAAGAAAGGATCATGGAGGTTTACATCAATAAAACATGTCGTTTCATTTCTCTATCATTTTTAACAAAACAATAGCTGTCATGAGATACTAAAACAAGTTTTGAAATATTCATCACCATTTTCTTGCTCACTCCCAAAATAAATTGCTTCAGCACTCAGAGCTGTGGGTAGATACTGAATAGCATTATGTCTTTTAGTCTAGCACGTCGACGGAGAAGAATTGCCTCTAACACCGTGCCATTGTTCTATTTAAAGAATCTTAAGCAACAGGGATTTCACTGCTTGAGTTGGAAGATTATTTAACAGACTAGTAGACCTTATGACTATGAAGTATTTCCCGATGTTATACTGACATTCTTCCATCTCCTGAACTCTTAGCCTTAACTCATTCTAAACAATCCACCTTCCTTCCAATCCTCTACACATCAAATTCTTCCACAGTGCTTGACAAGCTCTTTCCCACGTGGTACCTACAGCAAGTTGGAGTCTATGCTGATGAAGCACATAAAGCTAATTGTGTGAGCGGGACATTCAGATGGTCACTCAAAATGCAGATACAGGCCCCTCAAACTAGTTCAAAATGCAAAACTCTGAGCTCCTCAAACCAGTAAAACAGAAGGTACAGTCTGAGCATCATGTTACCTCACTGCAAAATCACAAGATAGTACTGGGAACCACATCCCACAACTGTGGCCTTTGGTGGATGACATGAATGTCTCATGCAAATTTTATTGGGGCAGACACGGGAAAAGCTTCCATATAGTGCATTTGAAATTTAAAAAAAAAAAAAAATCCACGAAGTATTTTGTTACAAGTTGTTTAAATTAGAAGTTTCTCTTTATGGTTATACAATTGTTTCTCTCCACTGCAAATAATTTTTTAGGCATACAAAATTCTCTTTTTCTAAATAAAGAATAATGGTTTAAAATATCAGGCATTTTCTGAAAACCTCAAAAGTAGTACACCAGAACTGGGGCTAAATTTGAATTTTGCAGGTAATCTTGAACTAAGATATTAGTGATATTAGTGGAGAAACCTATCTGTGCCACAGAACAGATCTTTGGACTACTGGTAACAGGACCAGGAGCCGAGCCTCAGCCTGGGCTTTCCCAGAGGCTGCCCCTTCAGCCTCAACAGAAAATTGGGCAGGACCAGCAGCAGAGTCCTGTTATGACTGACCCTGATTAGCAGCTGGTGACAAGACTGTCACTGCTGGCATGGTTTTGGCAAAGAGCAGCCTGGTGATACCCACAGCCCTGGGATAGAACTCCAGGAAAGACCAGAGGACAAGCAGACAAGTACTGAGCAGTGTGTCCTGTCTCACCACGGGAAAAGAGCCCAGTCCCACAGCTTCAAATCCATTTAATTGTGTCAACCTGAATATGTGAGGTATTGCCAGAAAGCGAACCAAGCAGCGCAGCACAGGCACCATGCACATCCAGGCTTACTGCTTTTAGAGGGGTCACAGGAAGGGGAGAAATCTGGTGAAGAACAAAGCTGCCATATTGCAGCTCCATTAACAAACTTCCCCTCAACACAAACATCACGTCTCCTTTTTCTAAACAAGTGGGTTTTACACCCTAGACAGAGACACTAGCTCGGACTTCTGAAAAGAAATGTGTTTAGGCAGAACTAGCACCACAAGACATCTGGCAGAGGAGAGAAAAGCAAGAAGAGGATCTCACCAGGGTCCCTTAAAGAATCACTGTTTACCTAGAGACACTCTCTCCCTAAAATAAACCAGTGTTTTCCTCTCACCTAGCCATAGTCATTGGCTTTTTAATAACCTACAAAATGTCATGACTTTTAAATGAGCTCCATGATTTACAACAGTAGCAGCTCCTCTATTTATAACAAATGCACACTTGTAAGATGTTATTAACTACTTTTGTCTCCCTGACATGCAGAGATGCTGCTTAAATAGAAAATTGTGTTATGTGTGTTTGAAGACTTCTAAAGCTAGATAATTTTGCATTTTGCTACCCTACTGAGCTAGGAAATTAACAGTAAAGCTTTTGCTTGCCCTCTAGGAGACCTGATTTAGTCAAAGACATGATCTCAGGTAGTAGCTACAGAATCAGCTATTTATTTAATTTAAATAAAACTGTTCTACCAGCAGACAATGAAGGGAAGAAATAATATGTCATGCTAAGATTCCTGAGCCAGTACTTCTACCCTACGTCCTTTCTGTACATGTTTAAGTGCACTGTTGCTCTGTGTTAAATAAGCTGCGGTAGAATGGAAACCAGATAATTTGAGCTCCCTGGGTACTGGGCAACTAATTTAACTCTCGCTGGCACACAGACTATAAATAGAAAAAGATGGCAGAGTTTCATAACATTTCAGATAACATTTCTATGAAAGTTAATAAATTAACAGTGAGGAAACACTATTTCTTCCTACCCATCTGCCCCATGAACAGGAGTCATGCTGTCTTTAATGAAAAGCAAGCAGGTGATGGTAGGCATCACCTTGTGTCATGACTTACCAAGTCATGACTTACCAACTTACCATAAACACGAGATGTGCCCTCACCTGCTTGGCAACACACCTTCTCCTTCCCTCACCTTTGTCCAGGAGGAAGCACTCTGCTTTTGGAACTACAGAGAAGTAAAAGACTTCTGGGCCAAACAGGTGAGACATGTGAGAGAGATGACCCTTGGGAGGGGCTCATTCTCCTGCTCTCACTTGGAGGTGGAGGGAAATTCCACAACAGCTTCCATGAGTTATCTAACTTGGCAGCAAGAGCAAAGTTATAGATGCTGTTTTTCACCAGGTGATGGGCTGAGCTCATCTCTACATGAATTCGTACAAGCAGAACACTTCCCCTGGGTAATTTTCATACCCATCAAAACTGATCTTGTAATATGCACAAGATGGTCACATCATCCTGATCCCAACACTAAAGAGCACTACCATCCTCAGCTGAGTCAGCTGAAACCAAATGCTTCCATGTCCTTCAGTTTTTATGGGCAAAATGTACAAAGATAGTATAAAAATACACCAGAATACATAAATGAAATCAACTTCTTTTAAGAGAACTGAATTATCAGATGTAACTTTCTATGCCTGAGATTGCTAATGCTTCTTCCACAATTTTTTTAACAGAAATCAATTGATTCAAATTCAGCAGACTGGAGTATTGTGGAGTTAGATTTGTATGAACCTGTATACATCTGGTGTGTTCAAGGATGGTGTTGTACCTACAGTTGTCATTTTTTTCAGATTCACACCTGAAATTGCTGAAACTGCTAAACAACACTATTGCTTGTAGAGATGTAGTTTAGATCTAATCAGGTATCAGGTAATTCTGTCCTTAACACAGGTTTTATGTAAATAAAGACTAAAAGATGACAACACCAGTAAAAAGAGAAGTCTTCCAAAGGCATAAATGTAGGGTAAAAGCACGAAGTGAAAAGAGGCTGACTTACTCGAAGTAAAGTTCATTAGGAAACAACAAAAAATGAATGATCAGTCCAATAGTAAAACAAGATACAAGGATGTTTGGGGGCATTGGTAAAGTTAAAAGTCCCTGCTAACATTAGTCTTTTGCATTTCAATCACCCCATGTAAAGGGGAAAGAGAAAATCCTTAGGGTTTTGAACTATATTAATTGTATTTATTTTAATTAATTTCAAATTAATACAAACAGTGAAAGATTTAGAAGCCTGCATCTTGTCTCCTCTGCTGCTTCATGTCACCTGGTGGCCCTGTCTGCACCCCTCTTGGGCTGATACCACTTGCTTTGATATTGACACAGTTCAGGCTCAATCTAGTCTTCAAAGAAAAACTGGCACGAAAATCCCTCAATCCCCCTTTCTGCTCTGAGCCCAGGGCATGTGCACATTTCCCAAGGACTGCAGAATCCAGTGGGTATTATTTTGTGCTTAATAAAATTAACAGCCTTTGCAGAAAATAGGATTTGGAATGACATTTCTGCCAGGGGATCATTCAAAGTCTGGTAGATGTACTACGATATCAGTCCTGATCTCTTTCATATCACTGGCTCAATTTTTCATATCACTGGCTGAATTTATCATACTGAATATTAAGAAGCAGAAGAAAAGTAGATGAGAAAGATTGTATCTCCTGTTTTAGATAATATTTGTCCTGTTCTGCATTGGCTGCCATTTACTTGACAAACACAGTTCGCTCTGTTTATTTACTATTTCAGCTTGTAAGAAGGCATGTTCCAGGTAAAAAACAAAATACAAGAAAGAATGCCTCAAATTCACTCTTAATGGAATTTTCTCTGTAGCAAGGAAAACCACCTCCTCAACATTCAGGCCCTATTCATCCCTCACTATTAATATTTTAAACAGGTGTTAGAATTTAATGCTTGTTTATTAATATTTAATAATTATTATTCATATTTTTTAAAAAACTTCACTGGGCAATCAAGATACCAAACCAAAGTCAGTGGCACAGAAGAGATTAGTGAGTACTGGACAGATTTCATTAGTTCTGAACCATATAGAAACCACAGTCTGCACAATCCTGGGACACATCTGTTTAATATCCCTCTGGAAAGAAGGGCACGTCTGGGACTTACGGTTAGTTGTCCTGCTCTGGTCGCTCTGAGAGCTGTCATTGGACTGGTTGCTGGAGACAGAGGACACACTCGAGCTCCTGACAAACCCAAATGCAGCCAGCTTAGCTGCTGGCAGCCGTGAATAACCTGGGGGACGGAGTCCAGACGGGCAGGGCTTGGGGAGATTTGATTTTGCAGCACTTGGACATGATCCTTTCTTAAGATCAACTGAAAAAAGGAAAAAGAAAGAAATTTTTGTAAAATAACTGAAATGTGAGACCATTACCTGTATCTCCCAACTACATAAAGGCAGTACTAAGACTGAATACAATGGCTGATCAAACTGCAGTGACGTCTTATTTTTTGCTGCGCTGAAAAGACATTTGGTGGAAAAAATTCAGGTCACAATCATTTTTAAAAGGTGAAATATGCCAAGTACCCATGGGGCCTAACTCAAACTTCCAGCAAAGTAACACAGTTCAACACTGCTACAAATTTCTTTTAATGTTATCTTCTTCAATGCTGTATCACTTTCTAATTTTACATTTATTGTGTGCCAATTAAAAAAACTCACAGAGACAAACATGCTACACATAACCTCCAGTTTTGGAAAGTATTGTAAACCAGCAACAATCCTCTTCAAGGACACAGAACTTCTTTGTATTTCAAAGAAAACACTCCTTTGAAGTTCTTCTTTTAAATTCCACTAAAAAAAATTCCCTTTTCTTGTGCGAAGCCTGGGAACAAGGACATGACCTGTAAAGTCCAACTTTTTTAACATACCACTGGCCATTTCTACTGGTGGACTCTTCCTTGCTAAGACACCAGCCCATGTGAGTGACACCCACCAGCTACTATAAACCAGTAGCTGGTTTATAACACCTGCAGTTAGACCAGAGGAGCAGTTCAGCTGTGGTTTCTGCCTGGTTACCAAACACTCATCTGTCTCTAGCTTCTGTCCTAACCTGTAGGCTGCTGCTCCTGCTCAGGCAAACCTTCCTAGGCAAATACAGAACACAGGTTCAAAAATGCTCCTCTTTTCCTTCACAGGCCAAAGGTCCAAAGGTCCATGATCATGGCAGTCTTGCCTTCAAGGTCAAGGACCAAAAATTAGATTTTGCTTTTGGTTGGAAGGTCTGGATACCCAAGTGACTCCAGACCTCATGTGTACATCAATTTGGACAGAGCTTTTTCTTCCTAAGTTTGAGAATACTAGATTCCTGTTCCTTGTGGAATTCTGCGCAGCAAAAATACATATTTTTTAAAAAAATATTAACAACAATCTCCAAAACCTGATGCTAGAGTGTTTAATCAGGACAAATGGGATAGTAAAAAAGGCAGCATTAAAAGCTACCAACATATTCTGAAAACGCCAAAAAGTCACCATTTTTCTGTTCTTATTCAGTGAACACTATTGTACACTAGCCCAACACAAACTTCAAAGGAAGAAGTAAACATTCATAATATATAGAAAAATACAAATTAACTGCACAGTAAGAATATGGTCATATTATTACAGTATTTAATTCTTTTGTAAACTATATAGGTCACAGCCTTATTAATTTTAATGAAGCATTTTACTTTGAGAAGACTTTAGAGAAAACAAGACTAACTCCTTTGAGCAGAAAAATGTTACAGGGATTTTGAAAGATATTTGTGTACCTCATTACAATACTAATGCTAAGCTTTGTTTCATGTAACTAAGCCTTTCCTTTTGAAACAGAAATAGGTGTAACACCAAGCTAAAAAGAGTTTTGTTCTCCTATAAAGCACATTCCTTTAAAGATGTAACAAATGCTCCTTGCTCAATGAATAAAACAATTTATATACTCTAGGCTCTTAAAAATGCATTTTTGTACCCACTTTCCCCAGGTTGAGCCCTTTCTTAACACACAAGGAGATGGATGTCTGCAGCACCTTTGCCAGCCCAGAGAAGTACACGCTGTGCGGAGTAACCCAAATGAAAATAACAAATATCTATAGTGAGTAAAAAAAGACTACTAAAATCCCCATTCACTCCCCATCCCTGGCACCAGCAGAGGCAATTTTGGACTATGATCCTGAATGTGGTTTCCTTTGGATATTGTGAAGGGGGGCTCAAAGGCAGCCATGGGTTCCAGGTGCAGGTGAAGGGCAGAGCAGGCACATTAGCACAGAGAAGAGACAGGCAGTGATGGTCACCATCCGTTCATGCCAGGTTTGTGCAGTGCTGCTTTGACAGTGGCCTACTGCAGCTGATTTATGGCTGATTTACTGCTTCCAAAGCCAAGACTTCTTCCCTACCACTGCAAAATTCTCCATGTGCTGCATCAGTGACGGGACCAAGCCCAGGCACCCTCCAGACTGAAGGCGAGACAAGTACTCGTGGTAAGCAGCTGCAGGTGCAAGGAACCTGCCCAGCTCAGTGGCAGCAGGGAGAAGGCATGGGGCTGTCTCTCGTGGGTTTTACCGGTTTCCAAAAAATGCACCTGGACTGCATAAGCTGAGATTTCTTTTTCCTAAGCGTGTCTGAAAATCGAGGGAGGGAGAGATACTTCCATTTTACAGCAACAAACTATAAATATCACAGACTTCCTGCAACAAAACAGGGGCAATTCCACTGGGGCAGCGGAATAAAGTTAGAAATGGCTTTATTTAAAAAGCATTTCAAACGTGCTTGGCCTAGGGCAGTGTGGCTCACCTGAGACTCCCAGGTCCCCACCTCAACTACAGGGATGCCCACAAGTCCCCAGACTGACTGTTCTCTGCAGTTTGTGACCGAGCACTATGAAAGAAGAAGAATTTCCTTAAAACCAAAAGGGTTTTGGTTACAAACTGCCCAACCATCTTTACCTTTTCTTCAAAGTCATTCTTCCAGACTTGGGCAGAGGACTCAGTGGTTTTTTCTCATACTTTTTTGTGTGTTTCTAGCTTATGACTCCAATTCCAATTCCCCCTGAACTAACAATATTTTGCATCTTGAACTCATCATCATCCTGAAATTATTTTTCACTTCTGTTCTTTGTAATCCAGTTCTTCTGTACCATGAGGACCTGGGGGCAGGACATTATCCTCATTAGGGATGCATTCAAATTCTTAAAACTAAGTAATTTTGTGTATTTTCTCATTAAAATACATGAGACACCAGCCTATTGTACATATTTTCTGTTCTAAACTTCATCAAGTTTTCTCATGCATGTTTTTTGCTTTATTTCTGTTCCTTAAAAGTATAGAAGTACTCCTGCAAACAAGGTCTGGGAGTTCAAAACAAAAGTTATTTTAATGAGCAGCTTTTATTTTAATGAAAATCTGCCAAAATAAGCTTAAAAATCTTTCTAGTTGTCTCACTGCCTGAAGCTAATTATAGAATTAAGTATTGTTGTCTGTATGCACACAAGTGATTTTCTATGACACTTCAAGCTGTTCCTATCCAGAAACATAAAAACATTTTGAGTTAGGGACTGATTGACACAAACTAGATGTGCCTGGGGAGACTTTGCTAAAAGTCTGAACTCCACTTTATGCGTCCCCACTGCACAAGAATTGCATCTTCATGCATGGGTAAAAAGCAACTTTCATGTAATTTCACTGTGAAATTTGAAATATGATTTAGCTGAAATGAATGAAAAATTAAAGAAATGAGTTATACAGATATGCTCTTATGAAAAGGAGTAACAGTTTAAGACTTTAAAACTCTGTAACTCAGGGTTCCTTGGCAAGTCTTTGTCATCTGGTCATAGGATTTTTAGTTTTCTTTGCTTTCCCTTTTTTTAGTTTTTTTTTTTTAACCAGCACTTCTTTTAAAACTTTAATCATTAAATGCCATTTTCTCTCACTTACTGATGATGTGAACATCTCTATTCTTATTGCATATTGGGAAATCTGGGGTAAAGAACTTACCTCCAATGTCACTGCATCAGTCAGAGAGAACACAAGCTGAGTTAACCCAACCATTTGTATCTTTGCAGATTAAAAACAAATCACACATGTGAGAACTTTTTTCTGGTGCCCCTACATTTGTGGTTTCTCTGTGTAGACATAACAATTTCTCTCCAAACAAGAACTTAGGAATGGGGCTTTAAAACAGAGGCTTTAATGGTTTACACTTAAACAGCAGTGAGCAGGTTGAGCCCAGCTGCCCTGATGGTCTCTCACCCAAATACCATCAAGCCTGGGACAGGTCAGTTCCAAAGGCCAAACAGTTGTCACTGCTGAACATTGATTAATTTCTGATGGGTCAGTCCACCATCATATGGTAGTAAATGCTCCCCTCCTCACGATTCAGATTTAAAAGCACCAAAAACTGCTCTGCGCCTTCCCAGCTCCCAGGCAAACCAAGGCTGGTTAGCACATGCTCAACACCCCAAGGACTTGTCATCTCACAACTCATTCAAGCTGCAAATGTCCGTGTTCACTCAGCAGTTACTGTGAAAAGCACGGCATCCCTCAAAATCTTGCAGCACAGGAATCATCCATGCATGAGTCTCACTCATTGCATTTTCCACTGGCAGTCCAGAGCAGCCAGAACACTTCTCTGCACTGGAGCTGCATCTCATCTGCCCCTGCTGTTCAGAAGGGCTGTGGGTGTCCAGCCAGAGACAATGCTTGGCTCTGAGCAGGAAGGAGGCAAGGTAGGAAGCATTTGCCTGCTCCTACACCCAGATTGCTCCACATACTGTTCTTAGAAATGACAGCTTGGTACAACTGTCACACAGACAACCCTTCTAATATGATGGGGTTTAATTCCTTGAAGACACAGTAACTGGAGCAGAGAGGTGGCAGATGGCAATGTCTCAAGTAAGATGACAACGTCCTTAAAAAAAATTCATGAGAAAGAGTGTGTGTGTCCCTTTGAAACTTTTTTTTTAAATGAAGTACAGTCAGATTGCTCTCCTAAAGTAAATAGAGAGTGTGAAGTGAAAACTCTTCAGGTTAGTGGAGGACAGAGAACATTTTCCTCTTTGAATTATTCCCTTGTTCCTCTTTCCTTAGCCAGTTAAGAAGCTTGCCAGTTCAAATCCAAGTATCTCAAGTACAGACAGAGCTGGAGTAGCAGTAAGGCAATATTTCAGGAAGTTAACTCAGACCTCTTTTCTATCATCAAATCTAATTTACATGTTCAATTAATAGGTCACTATTACATTGTTTATTCCTGAGAGTAAACATGAAAATAAAGCATTCCTGCTGGGAGAAAGCTGTAGGCATATTGTGGCATTTGAGATGAAATACATTATACATATGCAAAGACACAAATATATGCATATATCTGTGTCTGTCCAAGGAATGACAAATATTGCAGTCCTGATTTATGGGTAAATTCTGTCTTCAAGGAAAGTTGACTTGCTTAGAAATGAGAGGAGCAGCTAGACCCTCGGGACTGACAAGTTTAATACACAGAGAGGTGATAAGGAAGTAACATTTCATTAACTCACTCTTTGAGAAAAAAATACCCCAAAACACTACTGAAAATGCAGAATTAAGTTAAATTAATGAGCATAATTAAAGTGAAGCTTTAACTATGAGATCTCTGTTATACTTTTCCAAATCAGACATTAATTCCATCAAAATAATCAGCTAATGAATGCAAATCCTAACACACTTGCTTCAAGAAGTCTTTATAACCAAGGAAAACATATTAATATTTTACATGTTATAGACACAGTATGCTCCAATGCTTGTTTTGACTGACAAGTTTCCCATAGAAAGAGTAGAGTCTATTTACATAAAATAAATGTTAAGCTTTCAGAGACTCTATAGCGCCTATAAGTAGATCATAACTCAGTGACTTCTCATTTTACCTACTTTGCAGAACGCTTTTTCTTACAGTCAGGCTGCTTGTCTGACCCTCCTGAGGCAAAGCACCACCGAAAGAGCAGCACTGCTTCAAAAGGCACTTGCAGCCAATGCCACCACATGTCCTACACCCTACTGATGAAGAAGGATCACTGATCCAACCACACTTTAGGCATCACTCTTAAGAGATCACACTTGAGGGAGCACTCATCATTATTTCACTTTCTACTTGGCATAACCTAAAGCTAACAAAACCCTTAATGCACTCATAATACTTGCAGTCCATCACAGCAGTTCAGGGATTTAATTATCAATTACTTCAGAGTCAGTTTTATGAGGATTAGTATTATACATGGGCCAAACCACCCCGCTTATCAGTGCTGCTTAACCAGACTGCTGCACAATGAATGGCACGGCAAAGGGGAATAAAATCCTCGTTAAGAGGCACCGCTGCTGTCCCCGATACCGTGCCACAGCGATCTCAGAGTAAGAGCCGCCGCGGTACCGTGCTCTGCCACGGGATAGCAACCGGCTGATCCTTCTGTTTCCATTACCTCAGGGCAGGGCTGATATCACCAGGACTGGAAACTGGATTAAAAGCTCAGGATCAAGCTGCAAGAGATGCTGATTAGCAGTGTTGAAGGCAGGCCTGGTATCCCTGACAGAAAAATACCCCTTAGTCCCTAGCTGCTTTTGCTGAAGTTACCCAAGCTCTTACATCCCACAACACCTGTGAGCAAGTCTTACTCTCTCTGCATCCCAGACACTGCCCAAATGTTCATGCATGTTATTTACTCATATTTGCAAATATGTCTCTATCAAAGCTGTGTTTAATCCTGTGTTTCAAATAGTGCAGCAGAACCAATGATGCAGATCAAATATACTGCAAATAGTACGACAGCTAACAGCCAAAATAAGGGAAAGTGGTTGAAAATGGTGTTGGGTACCTTAACACAGATGGCTAAAAGGTGTCTGGCCCTTCTATAAGCTCCTCTAATTAGCACCCCAACAGCTCTGGCATGCCAGGGGATGCTGTCCCATTCATCCCTTCCACAGCAACCAGCAACCCATCTCTTGTCTGCATGTGTGCTCTGCTGTGGACACAGGCACAGGAATCGATTCTCTGATGCCTCTGCACTCCTATACCAATATTGTCCTATCTTCTGTCACCTCAGCCTCTTTCGTGAGCAATTCATTATTCTTTTTGAAAGGAAATATTAAAAACAAAAAAGTCTGGTCTGACCTAGGAAGTCCATTGCCCAGAGAAGGATTAAGTCATTTGAGACATACAAGGAAAAAGGCTTTAGTCAAGGAAAAGGTGATTATAACAAAATCTTGAATAGATAATTGGGAAATAAAATACCAAAAATAATTGAATGTCAAAATGTAGAGAAACCAACATAAGATTTCAGAAGTACACAAAAGATAAGTGGGAAGAGGCATTGAAACAAAGGAGAGCAGTGAAAAGTACTTCACAACAGAATAAGGTATTGCAGAAAAATTAAACACATTCTTCATCTTGCAGGCGAAATGGAAGGTGAGATGCCAGAAGTGAAAACAACGTGTCCTGGGGTGGACAGTGAAAAACTGGAGACATTAGCAACCTCTCCAGAACAAGTCTTGTGTAATTTGAAATCTATAAAACAGTCAGAGCCCAAAGACCAGATGAAACACACTTTGGGGTCCTGAAAGAGATGACAGACAGATTATTGGACTACCAGGAGTTGTCTTTTATACCCTTTCTGAAACAGCAAGGTATCAAAAGACTAGAGAGAAACAAGCAAAATAACAGTTGTAGGAAGGAAATTATGGAGACTTATATATGAAACTTGACCTCCAAAGCAGACAAGGTCCAAAAAATAAACAGTGATTAAAAAAAATGAATAATTTTTTAAAATTCAAAAAATTACCAAAAAAAACCAACTTTTGAGAAGTATGAAAACCTTCAGAAATACAACTTCAGTGGAAAGAATCACAGTAACAGCTCGTGCAATTTACTTATGCATACTCCTCATGTACTGGCTCTTTTTAAAGGCAGTACTACAGACAAAAAATGGGACTGATAAGCTGATCCTGTTTAGATTTTAAAATGTCACATAATACAGAAGATGGTAAATGAATACATGCAAGACAAGCTCCTGTATGGATTAAAAGTGGCTAAGGAAAGTCACGTCTGTTAGCATCAATGATGGAGGATAATGTGGATAATGGATGGGTGATGGATGAATAAAAATGAAGGCAGTATTCATTTCTGAGGATCAGAAAAAAGCATTTATTTTGTAATGGGTTCTGTTTGCACTTTCTCTCTTATCTATCTCCCAAACTGGTTCCTATAACACAAGGGTTTACCCTACTCATATCCTAAACTCACAGACTCTTGCAGTTTCATTTAAATGGAAATTATGATCCAATTACTCTCTGCACCTGTATTCCCATATTCATTGCTGACTGAACTCAAGTCACAGGGCTGAAATGGTATTTACAACCCAGCCTGCAATCTTGGGGTGTCTCAGAAGTCACATACAGCTGAGTTTGGTCAGCTTCTGCTGATGGCATCAGATAAACTCCACATGCAGCGTCAGATAGTAAAGGCTACTGGCAAGAGGCACTGTATTACAGAGAACCTTGATTGTCTGATAAGCCCCAAATCCTGTCAACCTGTATTACTGACTGACACTGTCCTCTCAGGGTAAAGTCAAGATGCTCTGGTGCATTTCCATTCTAAATTTTTCTAAATTTCTCTTGCTTCTTAGGATGGACAAATGGACACTGGGGAGAGATGGTAATAGTTTTCAAATACCTGCAAAGAAGAAAAGACCACACAACTACTCCAGATGAAAGGGGAAGCAAACTGCAACAAAGGGGGTTAGGCAAAACATTAGGGAACAATTTTAACTTGAAAATAGGTAATGCATTGGAGCAGCCCTGCTTTCAGAGGCTCCAAGATCTCATATCAAAGGCTTTTATAAATAGTTTTTCATGAACAGGTTAAATAAGGATACATCAGAAAGAATCCCATCCTGGGGCAAGAGATCATATGACCTTAAGTCATTAATTAACTTTAGCCCTTATAACTACTTTTAAAAATCTCTGCAGCATTCTAGGCTGCTAAACAGCTGCTACACTTCACTCTGACAATGACTGATTTTCAGTTGTCTCTGAACTTGCCCCTGTGCATTTTTTAAACTTCCACACTTTTCCAGGCTATTAAGGAGTGTCCCATAGAAGTAATTACTCTCTCTCTCTTGTGACATCGAACATTTCTCCTTCCACCTCTTCTTGTGTTTTACCCTCCCCTGTAATTCTGCCCAGGGTCATGCTGAGCTGGGCAGTAGCTAGTGAGAATAAGGTATTAGAAGTGTTGCCTCCAAAGAGGTGTACACCAGGCCTTCAGAGAATCAAGATCTCTGCTGGCACATTTGAACACTACCCAAGTTTTCAGAGCACAACGTGGTGGGGAATGTCAAATCCAGACTGAACGGTGGGGTCTTCATGATGGAAGAAAATGTCCCATTATCTTCTCCAGAACAAAACCAAAGATTTTTCAGGCATTTACAAGGTGGAGGAAGATAAAAAGATGAAAAATGAGAATTGTTATTGAAAACTATTCTCTTTCTTTGGCAATGACCTGCTAAACAACCTTTGCACAAGTCCCAGACTCCGTAGTCAGCCTTGCTGCAGGATGAAAAGACATATCTCAAAGGGTGCTGTTGGAGCTTTGTAGGATCAGGTCAAAATGTTGCTCATTTTGTGATTTTTCTGTCTCAAAAAAAAGGTATCTTATTGGTGAGAACAGTAAAGGGAAAGGAAAGAAAGTTCATACTTTACCTGAAGCATCAGGATGGTAGAGGCTGGGAGCACTTGTTATCTCTCCTTGCTGATGGAGACAACTCCCTGAGGATCTTTGACTCGCAATGAGAATCCTGCTCTTGGCAGATGGCAACCTGGACACTGCTCCCAGCCCCAGCTGTGGCTTCAGGATCATGGCAGATCGATAAAAGCTTGGTGACACCTCATAGTGGGTGTACGCTGGAGGGCAGAATTCATCTTTTGCAGGCCTTTCCCCAACCTGCAGAAAAATCATTAACACAGATATTACACAATAAATCAATAAACCCAGACAACATGGAGCTCCAAATTGCTTGTAAAGGCTAAATTTCCCTCCTTGTGAATCTGGTCCTCAGAGCACTGCAAACTTTCAAAAATTTATGGTCTTACTATATGAATTGCTCTTCAAAAACATGTATATTACACCCTCAATATAGAAGTACACCCCATTAAAGAATTGATGCCTTCCCCTAAAGAAAATGGACAAATGGAAAACCTTCAATTAGTGAAAATGAGGGTACTGTTAAGTCATGAAAGGTTATATTATTTACACAGGTAGATATACTAAGAAACTGTGTAAATGGCATTTTTGTTAGAAGTTATTTAAAATATCCTTGCCCAATTCTGGGAGAAGTTGGTTTTAACTTAGATAGCTAAAAATAAAGCTGGAGGTGTTTAGGTACATTTTATCAGAGAAATTGTACTGCCAAGTAATTTCTGTGACAAAAAAAAAAAAAAAAAAGGAAAGAACCCCCAGTATGTTCTCACTGCAAAATGTTCATTGTAATCTGTGCCCCTCTAATTCCTGGAAAGCGACCTTGTTGTGGATGTAAGCACATTTCTCTAACTTATGCAAATGTGAAACTTTTGCTATTTAGGACAAATAGATGCTGCACTGTTAAAATCAGTGTCAAATCTCTCAGTATTTTAATGGGCATTTACTGTAAGCACAGCAGAGTCAGTCCCAAGTTGGAAGTGTTTCCAGCTCAAAGCTGGCTCAGAGCACTGAACTTGCACTCGAGGAACGATCTGGTTCCATGATTCAGCCCTTGTGTCTTTGTGCATTCAGGCTGGGCTCTGACTCCCACTTTTCTGTGCTGCTTCGTGACTCAGGACAAGAGTGCAGAGTTTTGAACTCTCACATTTGCAAAGAACTGTTTGCTCTTCTGAGTAAGAGCTTCTTCTCAACTTCTTCATCATTTTCTTATAAAATGCAATATCTACATAATGTAGAAAGGACTTATAAATATTTTTTCAGTCATCCCGTTTAGGCCATGGGAAAAGAAAAAAAGCATAGGAAATAGGAAATCTGAACTAAATTTGTTTAAAAATTAATCAAAAAGTGCCACAGGCTACCTAGGAAGAAATGTAACTGCCAATTAATTAACTCTGCTGTAAGTTATGATGCATATAATATGCCAAATCAATTTCTATTTAGCAATTATAAGCATTAGAATATGCACTTCAACATTGGCTATAAAAGCTTTGATCCTAGCTCCTTCAGGAGCTTTAATCCTAATTTAGCAAATCTTTAATATGCTAAGAGACAAGATTGGCCTTAAACTATGAAATATAGAAGAATATTTGAGGCCTTTGCACAGGAACTAGGAGGGCAGATGCAACAAACATTGAGCTTTATAGTTTTGCCCTATATTTTTTCCTCCATTTGCAGTCCTATTTCCTGCCATTAGATCTTTCTCTTTCCTTTTTTATTATACTCCTATGACCTATTTAAAGTTAGGACGTAGTTTTCTGCTGTATAATATGAATGATTCTGCAGACTTGGACTGCAGATGTCTGGCTTCTTACTTTCAGCTTCTAGATATGAGATTGTTTTTCTGGATAAGCCTCAGTTATCTTCTCTCCCCCTGCTAAAATTTATTTCTATCAGATTACACTATGCATACTATAATTTCATACTTAAATGAAACTTAAGCACCAAGGCCAAGTATTTCAGTATAAGGAAAAGAGAAAATCTTTAAATACAGAAAATAAGCATTTTTTATAAACTGGGTCCATCTATTCAAATCTTCTCTCACTCCCTTTCTTTTTATTTATAGACAGTATGCTGAGAGTAACTGAGAAGGGCAACAAACATGGACACAAACCCAATCAATCACAAGCATCAAACCTCTTCTCAAGGAAGGAGAATAGAATCATTTAGATTGGGGAAGACCCTTAAGATAATCAAGTCCAACTGAATTTGCCCAAATATCTCTCAAGAATTAGATGCTACTTTTTGAAGACCCCAGTTTTGGAGGACATGAACTTGTTATGAAGATACACCGTTTTTTCCTTTCTATTTAACTGTGAATTTGTGAAGTGCAAAATTCAACTGGTCTCAATAGAATTGTATAAAATTATTGCCATTTTAAAGCTCTTCAGAAAGATGTGGATTAATATGATCCCTGTTAGCACCCTGTACTAGGTTTTTGTATGAGAGACTTCTAGGGAAATGATCTGTTGCAGCCTGCCCACCAAGAAGGTCAGCCCAGAGTTTTCTTCTGTGTGGCTGTCTGCTCATTACCTACACACCCAAGAGTGAATTTGTTAAAATGAGCCAGAAAAGTCTGCAACAAATGCTTTGAGCACACAGGAATTTCCACAGGCTGGGTATTCGTGAGCACAGCTGGCAGCATGGCCAGCAGGTACGGATGCCCAACATCTTCCTTCTTGTTACTTTGTTTAGAACATCATCAAACATTAATGCCTCGAGGAAGAATTTGCTTGTCAAGCGCCTGCTTCAGGCAACTCTTTGGGAAAAGAAGTTGGCAACATCAGTTCAGGCAGTTCAAATAACAAGATCAAGGGGAGAAACTTTTGGTTTGACTATATATAAAACACCTCCCCCAAGTCTTTTTTACCTCAGCAGGCTTTTTGTTTCAACAGACTTTAGTCCATCCATTGGACCACAATGATGTCTGTGCAGGGGAACAGACCCAAAAAGGTACTTGAATGGGGCCAGCACAGTCTTGGTGAGGCAGGCAGGAGAGCTGGTGATCAGCAGACCTTCTTACAGACCCTCACCAGGTCAGGGCTCTTGGCAGCAGCCATAAAACAGTGAATAAAGTGACCAGTGACCACTTTCTGACAGCACACAGACTGTACCTGCATGGGTAATCTCTCTGCCTGCAGACCAGGCTGAGCCATGCTGGTCCTTGGCAGAGCTGATCCTGAGCTGGGAAGCCTGCTTCCAGTCCAGCAGTCAACCTGTTCTGAACCTTGGAGGCCATGGCATTCCACTGTTCAATTCACTAGGACAGCTACACTCTTAGGGTCCCTGTAACTTAATTTGCCCTGTAACTTCCCACAGAGGCAACTGGAAGAACAAAGAGCCCCCAAACACCCACTGGCACTGACTAGAAGAGGGTGAGCTCCACAATGAGATGGGGATCATGTTGTGATCAAAGATGTGGACCTGCCCTGGAAAAGGACTGGATTTCTTAAGCATTTTGCATTTCACCATGAGAGGTTTTCTGTTCTTTTGCCCATTCAGCCTTTACTCAATTTCACTGTGGACCCAACACCTCAGGACAGCTGGACTGCCTTCATGCAGGAGTTGGGATTTTTGCCTGAGCACAGGCAGCTCAAGAAAGCCCTGCAGGCTTCCCTCTGCAGAGAGAAAGCCCTCGAGTCTTTCTCGTAGAGTTCTCCAGGCCTTTTCTTGGAGTCTCCTGCCCAAGACAGCACCTTCCTATTTCTTCTATGCCTGGCACCCAGAGAGATATTTAATTGTTCCTACCACTTAGATGAACGATGTTTAGAGATTACAGCTATTAAAACTATCATAGCTATATGAAGGGGCTACAAAATGCTAATCAAAGCTCTCCAAAGACAATACTGGATGTGTGAAATAGGTCAATCTGGGATTTTTTCTCTAACCAAGACAATGGCCTGTGAGACCGAAGATCGTGCCACAGTCTCCTTGTCTCCAAAACCTCTGAGTCTTCCACATTCTCCCTTCAGCTCAGTGATTTGGGTCTATTTCAATGTAACCTAATTGGTTTCTTTCGGATTACACATCACTCATCTGCACAGCTGTTCTTCTAAGCATCTGTTCACCTTCATGGATTGATCATTTTCCTTTCTCTTGATTCATACTGAACCAAATCAGGCCCCATTGTATTCCTCCAGCTGGCAGGACAACCAGGTTATTGCTTTTAACGTGGCAGTCCAAGAAAGCAGATTCCATCTTCTGCTATCAGCTCCTGAATCCTAGCCAAATGCAAACCACAGTTTGACTTTTTCTTCTCAGCCTCTTCTCATCAGTCCAGCTTCTCTGAAGAAGCAGTTTTCTTGGGTTCAGATATTCTCTTGTTGAAATACCCATCAAAAGTCATGTTTCTTGGAGGAATAGGGGAAGATCCTCTCCAGCTCATGTGTCCTACTTCTAACCCTAGCCTAGAGAAAATCACACTGCAGACTTTCCACAACCTGAATCCTTCTCATGCTAAAAACAGTCCGCAGCAGTGCTCAGAAATCTGTCCTTTGTTCACTGATGTGTCTGCTGATCCTGCCTGATTATCTGAACCCCAATTCTCACAGACACCTGTGGTCTCCAGAGGGTCATGCCACCCTATAAACAGTCAAACAGTCTGGGTCATTTTGGCTTTCATTGCACTGCCATGCATTCAACAGCAGCAACCTAGTAATTTTCCTCACCTTACAAGGCAATTGTGAAAATATACTCATGATGGCTGAAATAGACAATCTCCCAAAGACTTTAGTAATTCACTCCCAGGACATAAAATACAAAGGACATAGCTGAAAACTGTGGTTAAAGGAAAAAGGACAGCAAGTACTGTTCTTTCTGTGTTTGTGACAAGAAATAATTATAATCTTTGCTCACTTCAGTAGGTTTCTAGCTAATATGCCATAAGAGTCAATCTACACTCACACACAGTAGCCTAATTTGGGTATTTGCCAGGTTTTGACTGAGTCACTAAATTTTTTATTTCAATGCTGTTCCTTGGATCTATACCATATGTAGAATGAGTAAGGGAGTAAAACACCCTTAATAACACCACAAGACACAGAGAAAAAAAAAATATCCTTTTTTTTTAGAGACTCATTCAAATAAAATCACTTGTGTTATCTTCAGTGTTTGTATGAAAAGCTTGGTTGTTGAACTCCCTCAGGTCCCAAGCAGTGGATGCAAGAGCACATGACAGACACAGCTTGCTCTTCCCTGTCCTTCCTCCACCTACCAAGCAAGCTCGTCCCTCCTCCACTGAGCTCATCTCCCAGCAGGGATTTTGGGAACCCAAGGCTCCTCCCCATTTTAGCAAGGCAGAAACACAGTGAGATATCTGGAGCCAGAGGCATCTAGAGGGACTTCCATCACATTTTGGCTGCTTAGGATGGCTTTCCAGGGGCAAGAAGAAATCTTTTTTGAGGTGCAGGTCAGTGTAAGAAACAGCATTAAAATTAGTCAAAAGTAAGTCTTCTTTTGTATTATATGTATAATCCAAAAAGAGCTCTGATAATCCCTGGGTTTCCATACAGCTAAACAGAATGGAATTAGTTTAGCACCTCTAGTGCTCTGTCTACAAAAACCTGCCAACTTTCCCATTAGGAGCGAAGAGTCTCTATGGGAAAATTACAATCATTTCCCAAAGCCATTCTTCAGGAAGCAAAAAAAAAAATAAAATTATTCAATTCAACATGTCTTTTTCTTTCTAAACATCCCTATTTATAATACTATCAGGAGAATACTGGAAGAACACAGTAACGACTTCCAGTAACAGCTAAGATATCACAACAGGGTCAGTGCCAGAAGCAGTTAGGTAAGTTTATTCTTAATGATCACGCATTGTTTTAGGATTTATTTCTTATTTGAGGCTTGAGAACTAACTTCTGGCAGCAGCAAATAAGTAAACAGTCACCACTTGGCACACAAAAGCAGCTGTCTAAGCTGCAGAAACTTACCTCCTGCAGAAACTTCTCGCCCATCGGACCGAAGTGATGACCTGGGGGCCTAATTCCTGACACTACTAGTCCAGAACCAAAGAGTCTTGGCTTCTGGAGGTCAGGTTTAAATTTGTCATAGAGGACGCTGGCGGGCTTTGGCTCCCCTCCGCCGGACGCCTTCTGCTCGGCGGGGACGGGCACGCTGCACGCGGCGCCGTCGAAGGGCAGCCCCGCTGGCGCAAACAAAGGGTCGAGCTGCTCCATGGAACGAGGGCTCCTCCGAATGTACGTGATGATCTTCGGCCTCACGGGTTTGGGCCGGGGGATGGCAGGCTTCATCTCAGCGCCTTCTTCCAGCTTTTCACTGCAGTCACTGTCCACACCAGCCTTATCTGCGAGGGAGCCCTTGGGGTGGACCAGGATAGGTTTTGGGATGGCGCTGCTGCAAGCAGTCTTGATAGGCACTTTAGGGGATAAGTTTAACAACTGTGTGCTGTCAGTGGGAGGTAAGACTGAGGAGGGTGACAATTTGTCATCATGAAGTGCATAAAGGTCCTTCAAATTACTGTTTGATAGTGTGGGCTGACCATTAACATCCGACGTTGCCATTGGGCGCACAGGAGTTGGGACACATAAAAAGACATCAGCCTTTGCTGGAATGTTACAGCTCTCTTGTGCTTCCTCTGGAGGTTGTTTCTCTACATTAGCTGTTTCTTTACTTGAAACCGAAACATTTGAGGTTTCCACATCACTGCTGTGACTGTCAGGTTGTTGGTTCGACACTGTCTCTGCACTGCGCGCTCTGTGACGATCTGACGGATCAGAAGCAGGCACAACAGCATCCTCAGTGCCTTCTTTGACTAGCATCAGTTTATTCTCATTAACTTCCAAGGGTTTGCTGTCAGGTGGATTAATATCATGTACGGGAGATATCTGTTCACCAACTGTTTCAGTGCAACCTGTGTCAACTTCACGCAAATTTTTGTTTTTTCTCGGTGTCACTTTGATGCTGGATTTATTGCTGCAGGTGAGTGGAAATATTGTTTCCATTTCCTCATCAGTAAAATACTCCTCATCAGCCTGGCTGGTTGCCCTGCTGTCACTGTCATTGCTTCCTCTTCCTTCCCTACTGATGGCGATGCTATCATGTTGCAATTTATCATCAGGATGAGTTACTACCTGGCTTGACAATGGGCCCTCTACTCTATTACAGGTGTCATGAAAATGGGATGCTTGAAATTTTGACATGTCAGACCCAGAGCTTTTCTGTTCCTGCACTGTTGTTTTTTCAGGTCTTGGACACCCCAGGAACTCTACCAACATAATTCTCTCTACCTTTTGTGGACATGTATTTTTATATTGCAGAGATGGTGCAGTCCTAACCTCCAGTTTTTTGCTTTTATCACCCTGACTTAATTGTGCTTCTGATTTACTAGCAACCTCACTGAGCTTAACAGCTGAATGTTGAGAATGAGAAGTATGCAATGTGCTTTCAATGCTAACATTTGGTACATTTTCTGGTTTACTTGTTTTCTTGTTCCCTGAGGTAGATGGTTTGGAATAAAATACAGTCTTTTCCTCTGAGGTATTGTCAAGTGGACAAAACACCATCCCAAGAAAATGATCTGTGGATGTTTTTTGGGATTTCTCTGTACTTCCTACCAAGTGGTGAGACCTGTCAATGGAGTCCAGTGATGCAGAAAGCAGACGTTTGCACGACACGCGACCAACGCCGTCTTTTGCAAATGTTTCAGGCTGAGGAGAAAATTTACTTGGTCTTCCCAAAGAAAGCCTTTTTATTCCCTCCACCTCCACAGTCCTGGACATTTTTCCCTTAGGAATGTTCTGGGTGAAGTCAATACTACCTTTGGAGACAACCTCCAGGTTGGCATCATTTGTGCCACTTTTTAAATTGGACAGACTTTGTCCTCGGCTAATCCTGATATGCCTGGATATATCCTTAGCTTCGCTGGTCCTACAGTCTTTACCCATTTCCCTGCTTGTGGTGGAGGGCAGCTTACTCTCCTGTGCACTGGTGTGACAGGATCGAGAGTCCTTGAAGGTCAGAAGTTTATTCTGCTCTGTGGGCAGATGAGTCACTTTCTCTGTTCCTCCAGAGTATATATTCCCACTCTCATCTGTCAAATCATGTTTCTTAACATCCCCGTCAGTGGCTCTAACTTTTGTTACAATTTGGTTGGCATTGGTATCCCCAACATTCACTATGCTTTCATTGTTGTTTCTTATTTCACTGCGGCTGTCGTGAAGCTGGGAATAACATGACTGGTTTGGAATTAACGGAGCACTCATTTTGAAGTTTCAAAATGAGTGCTTGACTGCTTTTTTTTTTTTTTTTTTTTGGTAGTTCTAATTAATGAGAAGGTGTTTTTCCCTATCAGGTTAACTTTTATGCATGCTTCAGTTATATGTTTAAATTAGAACTGTTCAGTAGAAAATTCATCGTCGGAAGGTTTGAAGTCTCTTCTCAGAGTCACATTTTTCTGCTGCTCTGTTGTCTTTTCTGCAGCTCCCGGACCTAGGAAATCTTTATGATGTGCTGTAGAGAGGTTCAACAAAAGCAAAATAGATCTGCCAAGTTCCCTCTGAATGAGAGCCAGTTAATCCAGACAACCTAAGGGGAAAAAAAAACCCAAACACAAATAAAACAAAAACCCAAACAGACAACATTACACTGATGTTAGGAATCATGCTAACTAAATCAAACTTAAAATCAATAGCACTCCCAGGTATAACCCCAGGACAGAGTGTTTTCAAACACTTTAAATGCTGTTTCAATTACATTTTTGCTCCCAGCAAAAGTTCTTAGTGTAGGGCAGATCTCTGACTCAAGAAGTTACACAGCAAAAACTGTCCTGGTTAGAGGGGTGGTTGTAACTGTTTTTAAGACACATAGGTTTACAACTGGAAATAGACAAAAATAGCCAGGTGAGGGTGGGATCCAGTCTTGAGGGTCTAAACATTTGCATATTGCTTCAACAATTATTACACCAAGAGTGGCTACTGAAGCATTGAAAGCATCACTGTACAGATTAGTCATCAATAATAAAATTCCAGGTCCACAGAAGCTGTTTATGGGTTTCTCTCCTTGCCTTGTAGAAATCACTGCTATTCTGCACCAACACCCCACCCCCTTCAACATTTCTTAGCCAGATCTATAGATTACAAGAAAGCAAAAGCTATGGCTGGAGGCCTGCAAAGAAAAATTCTATTTTTTCTGAGACAGATGAATGTGTGTATTTTTAAATATAGAGGACTATACACCAATCCCAATACAGTGCATCTCTTTTTGGCTCCCTCACATGTTTGGCTTTGGGAGTCCAGATTTTGTCTGCTATCACCTCCAGCAAGATGAAGGTGAGATTTCTGCCTGTTTCATGCCTAAATTCACTCTCTGAGATATTTCTTGCACCCTGTGTGTTCACACCCTTCATCATAAAGAAACATGGGCACTGGCAACTGGAACATGCTCCACATTTCCCAGAAGCTGGAATTCAAAGCACTTGTGATACTCCCAGCTGTGCTGGGTTTCTAGCCAGGGGCTCACAGGGACACTAAATAGAAGTGCAGAATAAGTCCAGTGCTCTGTCTACAGTATCTGGGTGCCAGTCTGGGTCCCTGTGTTCACTGAAAGCATCTTTACACACAGTGTGCAGAGAGACCATGCTGGTGTGCTTCAGAGACAGACCAAGCACTTTGGCTTAACGTTGCTAGTACAAATTTATTAACATGAAGGTCAGGAAAGACCTGGCCCCTCTCAAACACAGGGCTCTGCTCAGCCTCAGAATGCTGCCAGTTGAGACTAACCCCTTAAAGCTGACAAGGATGGACTCTATGCACCCAGCATTTCAATTTCATTTCTTCTTGTTCTTCTTCATTTCAATTTCATTTCTTCTTCTTCTTCTTCTACATCCAGCCTCAGATTAGGGATGTCAAAGACTTGAGGAATCCACTACATTCTTACAATTAACACCCATACAATTACCCAAAGATATTTTCTTTTTCTCAGAATATTGCCTGCTTAACCTTGTAATGTGTTTCATGACTACCATTACAATAACTACACAGCTTGTAAATAATACAAGGTTCTGCTGTAGAACATACAAGATTCCTACTAAATTAATATAAAAATATAATGTATTTTCCTATTAGAGAATACAAACTTTGGAGCTTGGTTCAGTCAATGTGTTGAACATTTACATATCATGATAGGTCCATTTGGAAGTAAGATACATGGTTTTGTGTTACATTTGGGACCTTAAATTTGATCATTCTTCTGTTAATAGCTGCTATTTAAGAAGCCTTGGCTTGGGTTTTCTGCAAGATAGTTTATTTTAAATGGCACTGTCCAGATTCAACTTTGCTACGCTCTTTGGAGTCAGTGAGATGAAAAGACTCAGCTGTGTCTGGATTCTGCTGGCTCTTCCTCTATGTTTTATTACTCACCTCTCTTGACTGATGTTGGCTGACATACACACATCTGAAGTCACTCCCTGCTGTGCAGGAATGCTCTGAGATGAGAGGGACATGAACCTCCTAACTTCAGATGCCCTCCTCAGAACAGGAGAAGGGAGTAAGAGGAGTCTCAAGCCCAACAAAGACAACACTACATCACTTAGCAGCATATCAGTAGGGACTCTGGACAAGAAACATGTCTGCAATCTTCAAGACTGAACTTGGCATGTGTAAGGATTTATATGGATAAAATTTTCTTGATACTGTATAATGTAAAAATATCCCCTCTGAACCCCTGAGAGTAGAAAATGAAGTCATAGCTCTCCATGTCACAGCATCCTGGCAGGATCTATAAATGTATTTGTGGGGAAAAACCAAAACAAAAACCCTTTACAAAGTGATGTGAACATGCTAGACAGTGGAACAAAATGATATCACCAGACTATGTTTAGCTATGAATCCCACAGGGAGAAGAAAAGTTCAAGGAGCCAGAAACACAATTAAATACTTCTGTTTAACTCCAGCCACATCAGGTTCCTTCTAAGATGTCTATCTCTTATGAGACTCTATTTTAAACCAGAGCCCATTTAATGATGATCTAGGAAAGAAGCCTACAAGAGTTTCTTCCCATCTGATATTGCAGTTCCTTCACTACACTCCAAGTTACATTTGGCCAGCAGGTCTCACCCTAACCTCTGGAGACATCAAGAGGAAGGAGAAGCTGAGCTGGATGATTTTTGCCCCAGGATATGCAGCAGGGACTGCATCAGCAGAGCTCAAGTTTGTAGAAGAAAACTGGCTGGAAAAAGAATGCAGCAGCCTGCTTCTGAATAGTAACAGCAGTGTTTTTTTTTTATTAAACAAGCAGTGTAGAAATATTGATATCCCCAATAGGAATTGAAAAAACAAAAATTGTGAAGAATTCCACAAGATTGGTTGTTCTGCTTTCAATTTGCGACAAAAATAGAACAGCAATAATTATAAGATATGCAAAGGAATTATCAAAGCACATGTACAAATAAAAATGGGAAGAAAGAAATAAAACCTGAAACATGTTGAGCATTTTGCATCCTCTATAAACATTTCCTAATACAGGCTGTTACAGCTGCTTACCCATCCCAGTACTGAGAGTCTAAACCCAGAATATTTACAGCAAGATGCACCAAAAACATCTGGGTGTTCTGGTAACACTGTGCATGGCTTAGACTGATTGCTCTTTCAGTACCATGTGTATGAGAAGCACCTGAACACTTCATTTACCATCTGCCACTGAAGTGATGCCTCTTGCTACTACCATACAACAAAGCAAAACAAAAAAATCCCCAAACAACAGAAAACAATGAGTTTGTAAATTGCTTGGACAGAGCCAGGAGCCTGTGAAAGGTCAGCCATGGGCCAGCATCCCCAGTCAGCTGCCCACTCCTGCAAGGCAAAAGCTCTCAGCCCAATGGGGAATTGGGTTGTGCTGCCCAAGAAATAGGATTACACAGGCAGGTTGTTCACCTGGAGTAGAGAGGGTTCCAGGTAGACCTCATTGCAGCCTTTTAGTACTTGAAGGGAGCTTATAAAATAGAGGGAAAATTACTTTTTAAATGAGCAGATATTCACAGGACTAAGATAAATAGTTTTAAATGAAGAGAGATTTAGATCAGATATTAGGAAAAAATTCTTTACTGAGAGTGGTGAGGCACTGGAATATGCTGCCCACAGAAGTTGTGGTTGCTTCATCTTTGGAAGTGTGCAAGGCCAGGTTGGACAGGGCTTCAAAACACCTTGATCAGTGGAAAGGGTCCCTGCCCATGGCAGGGGGTTGGAACTAGAAAATCTTTAAGGCTCTGTTCAACCCAAACTCTATGATTCTATTATACATGGGGGGAACCTGTGCACCAGCCCACTTGGCAATGACTCAGGGAGCAGTCAGGAGGCCTGATGGGGTGTTTGTCCTCACAGAAGGCAGCTATGACTGCTTGTCACAACTCAGTTCAAAGCACAAAGTGAGAAATCTCCAGCCATTTCCCTCAGAGGCTATCATGTGATCAAGAGCTCCAAGTTCTTAAACTCCTAGAGCATCCTGGACAAGGGCTGAGCACAATCTCCAGCTCTGCTGCCCTCTGCACAAGCAGGACACATCCAAAGGATGAGAGTCTTGGACGCATTACAATACCCTCAGATAAACTCCTGCAGAAAAAGACCCTGAGGAAAAAATCTTGGCCCACAAGAAAGACACTGCTGTTCAGTGCTGATCAGTGCAGTGATGCAGGGAGATGGAGGAAAGCAGATGAGGGATATATTTGTATAAGGTGGGAAACAGATGCGGTTTTTACAGTTACTACAGAAAACTGAACAGATGCCTTCTGAAATGCACAGTTGTCCCAAGAAATGCCACTGGGGAGGATTGGCAAACCAGGCAGAGCTTCACTGAGGCCTTCTCTGGGAGACAAGATACCACCACATCCAGTGCCAGCCCTGCAGGCTGCCAAGAGCTGAGCCCACAGATGAAACAAATACGGTGCTGGATGGAAAGGAGGTGGGAATATCTCCTTGGGAAGCCCAAATTTTCATGAAGAACTGTTTCTGATGATGACAGAAGCTGAAACTGATAGCAGGATATTTAAAAAAAGAGTCAATAATCCTTTTGGAGGAGGTAATGTACAATTGGAATTAATTAAAAGTGGTAGAAAAGTGCTCAGGCAGGCATGTGATGATTTTGTTAATGTGATTTGGAAGGGTGAGAACTAAAGATTTGGATACAGTCCCCGACAGCTTCTATTCATAACAAAGCAGACACAGCTGTTTGAGGAAATTACAGCATAATCTCATCTTTGGCAGGTCCTGTGGAAATGT